GATTGGAGTGCATGCTATCTTCCCTCTTTTTCCAGTGGACACAAATAGAGAAAGCAGAAACACACACACAAAAACTATCAGTACATTCTGATTAGTTCTTGGGGACAAAGCGTACAGTACACAAAAACAACTTATTATTTGTTTACACAGAGGAAAAGACAGTTATCTCCTATGATTGTTGCTGATCAAGGAGCGGTAACAATTCCAGAAGGTTTCCATGGCATATTTTTGCTATCTTGTTACTCTTTCCTACCTAATAAAATATTGGAAGGAAATGATGTAAAGGGAGTTAAGATTCTTTGTCACCTTTCTATTAAACATTTCAACACGTAGACTTCATCAGTGTGAAAAGTTATATTTTCCATCAGTAAATTGATAACAATATGTTTACTTACCCAATTCTTTACACCAAGGTGACCAATGAGAATATTCCCTGAGTTACTGTGTCTTGTTTCTAGTTACTGTACCACATATAGTTCTATATTTGTTTCTTCAGAAATACTCTTAGTTAAGGAGAAGATAATTGAAGATAGTTTGGCAGTGTTTATTATGTACATATCTAATATGTCCAGAAAATGAATTTAATCATTTGATTATTTATTAACATATATACCTATATATATTTATTAACACACACACACACACACACACACACACACACACATATATATATATATATATATTTGTTTATTCACAGGAATGCCGTTTATTTCTTGAAATTTGGCACTTCTATGTTTTCCTGCCTTCTGATTTTTTAATCCTACAGTGTCATTGGTTCTGTAGACTTGATGATTTTATAGATGTATTTGAGTCAGGGTTTATGGGGTGGGTCTCAAAGTTGTGAGAATTGGCTTTGACCTCTTTTACATGGTCATCTTCCTTGAATCAGTGCCCTTAAGAAGGAGCCATAGCAGTGGATACATGCATACATATGTGCAGTGGAGGTTAGGGGAAAAAACACATTTGCATTAAAGTAGCTTTTTGAAAAATAAGTCAGACTACATCACCACCACTTTAAAAAATAGTTTTTACATATTAAATTGCAAGTTTGATTCATATAACTCAGTACTGTCCACATCAAAGCCCCTACCTGACTTTCAGTGGCAGGCTAGACAGTATATTTTGAAAATCAACTGGAAGGAGGAGGCAGAACAAAAATTTAAATGTGATAGGTGCTTGGTTTGTAAGATCACAGTTTAAAAGTTCTTGTGACACTTTGCACATTTGATGGAAAGTGATGCCAGTAAAGGCAAATATATAAATTATGCCTTGAACCTTTTCACTTAGGAATTGAAGGCAAATAGCTTGTGGAGGAATCTTCTTAAAAAATCTTGCTGTTAACAACTAGACCAGGATGCTGCATCTTGCAGACTGGTAATGTGGCAGATTTATAAAGCAATGTTCCTGTGTCTATAATCACACTCAGAAAATGTGAGAAATACAAAAATAGAACTAGCACCATCCAAGGCAAAGAAAAACTGTGGCTTGTAATTTAGCAACGCATATACATTACTTGTATGACTGTTACGATGCTGGCTTTTAAGCATCTTCCTAATTGTTGTACATTCATATTGCATATTAATCCTAGATAAATCAAGAAGATCATAAGTTTAAACAAAAGATTTTAGGGTATGAATCTGTTTGAGAATTTGTAGGGCATGAGAAAACCCCTAAACTTGTGTTTTTCATATAATATTTGTCATCCCCATATTAGAAATAAGACAGGGGAATAGATAGAAAATGTTTTCTAGAAATATCTTTGTAGTGGACAGTTGAGCCTGTAGGGTGGAGGACTAGGGGCTTCAGACATCCTCTTCCCAAATACACTTTGCATCCAGCTTCCACTTCCTGCTGCAGGACAACTTGTTGCGGGACAGTGAGCCAAGGCCAACTCGCCATGGGAGAAAAGTTACACTAATATAGAAGAAATAGTGGAATAGAATAATGCCAAAGAGTGGACAAAATGAAATGTGAATGACAACAATTAAAATATTTTTAAAATTATTTTAAATAATTAAATTGAATTGTCGAATCGTCTCACAGCGAGTTGTCCCGTGGCGAGCTGACAGTGGCGAGTTATCCCATTCCACCACCGCCTCACTTAGTGTCCACCCCTGATCCTAGTGTGTGTGAGTGACGGGGCTCTCACAATCTGTGCTGCCATATTTATAATTAGGAGTTAAAAATCCAAATAAAAATGCAAAAATGAGATGATAACATGTAATATAAAGGCACGTAAGTAGAGAATTCAGCTTTTCTGCCTCCTTGAGATGGTTTAAGTTCCCAAGTAATAAACCAAATTTAAGATTTTTAAAAATCTTAAATAGTAAAAAGCTTTCAGTATTGGAAGAGATCATTTAAATAAGCGACCGTGTGAAACAGCAACTGAAAAGGAATTTAAGAATAAGAATTTCAAAAGAAAACACAAGGTTCCATGCAGACCAAAAGATGCTGCTGCTCTGATCTATAAAAAGATGAGATAGAGCATTCCAAATTAATTTTAGTGATTGCAAGGAGATTGTTAAAAAATTATATCTTCTTGTACTTGCTTGAGCTATGATTCAAGATCAATATAAACTCCATTTTTTCTAGCTTGCACAAAAATAAAAGTAGACTTAATTAACACCATACAGAAAACAATTAACCTATTGCTGATTTCCTGCCTAGACAAATTCACCTTTTTTTATAAAAGTTGAATCCCCGTGAAGTGGAGTGCCTCTGCTTTCTTTATCTTCTCAGTTCTCCCCTTTGTTTTAAAAGGACAAACCATTTTGGTCTTCAGTAAAATGAGGAGCTGGGGTAACTGGCTCCATCATGTACATGACAAAGAGCATGTCTCCCTTATGGGATTAATGATCTCATAGGATATCTTGCAATCTGCATTACTTTGAAAGTCTTAGAAGGGAACTAGGTTCAAAAATGTTATTTTATTTATTATAATCCACTTACTGTTTTACATTGCTGTCACATGCTGAATCCTAGATAGATAGGGCAGGATGATTATCTTTAACAAAGAAGAATTATTTACAGTAGAAGGTCTATTTGTTTAAAACATGTTTGTTTATGAGTCTATGGACAAAGACTGCAAAATCCTTTTTTTTATATCATCCACATTCCTATAAATGAGACATGGGAATAGACAGAAATATTGTCTAAACCTGCCTTGCTTTTATGCTTCTGACTGTTTAGCCATAAATTGCATTCACACATCTCTGAACCTACTGCTTAGCTGCAAACTAGGATTAGAAATTCAGTTTATAATCAGGAAGCCCAAATAATTGTGTCAGACAAAAGAAAATCATTTTTTTCTATAAATGGGAGAGTAAACAACACTTCATGAGTGGCCAAAGTTTTCTAGCCATATGTACTGTACAGTAACTATTTACATCACATAAGGAGGTACAGTTGTAATTTTCTGAGTTTTTAAAGTTTTGTCTACTATTATAAGGCTAAAGAAGCCAAGGATACTTATATAAACTATTACATTGCACAAAGTCCAATTTCAGTACTTGGTGTTTCACCCCCAGATTTTTGTAGCACCACCAGAACTGCAAAAAGAGGTTTATAAATTAGATGCAGCTCCATGGATCAGGATTACCCACTTCTGCATCAAACTAAGAGAGAGAAAATGAGGTGCCAGAAGTGGAAAAGGGATGTCAGAAAGAAAAAAATGCAGCCCAGAGAGTGGTCCTGGACAAGTTACTGTTACTCCTGTAAAGAATGCAGTCCTCAGTGGAACACAACTGTACAATTTCTTGCCTGATTACCAAAAGAAATTAAGGTTTGAAATAATGGTGAAAATTAGGAAGGATTGCAACCTGCCATCTTTCCCTTAGTAGTTGGCCTATTGAGGCTTTACTGTTTCTTTATACAGGTAATCCTCAACGTACGGCCACAATTCAGCCCAACATTTACGTTGCTAAGTGAGAAATTTGTTAAGCGACTTTTACCCCATTTTATGACTTTTCTCGTCACATTTGTTAAGTGAACCACTGAGGTTGTAAAATTAATAACATGGTTGTTAAGTGAAACTGGCTTCCCCATTGACTTTGCTTGTCAGAAGGTTGCAAAAGGGGGTCACATGACACCCCCCCCGGGACACTGCAGCCTTCATAAATATGAGTCGGTAGCCAGGTATCTGAATTTGATCACATGACCATGGGGGATGCTGCAATGGTTATAAGTATGAAAAATGGTCATAGATAGGCCACTTTTTTCAGTGCCTTTGTAATTTTGAATGGTTACTAAATGATACATAAATGTAGCAAAACAAAAGACTTTAAATAGGCTTGCTCCATAAACATATTTGATTCCATAAATACCAATTTAGTTGAGATTACTCTTGAACAGGAATTTTCAATCTGAAGGCAGAAAATAGTCGGACAAGAGAAAAGTCCAATTGTTTCACAATTACAGCAAAAAATGACTGCAAATTGTCAGAGTGTACTCATATTTTAGACATAAACTGGTAGAAATTATGTCCGTAAAGGAAGAAGTGGGGCTAGGAAAGAGGGAGAATGGGGCAATTTTTCCCATCTTCCTGTGAGATCCAATATATTTCATAAACCAGTCACAAAACTTCTTCATTTAGGCTGAAAGAGGGTAATGGTAGACTTGGCAGATCAGATCAACATGCGCCTGTTATTCATTTCTTCAGAGCTTGGGAGAGTAATGTTACAATCTTCTACTGTAGTAATTTGAGGATGCTATAGTAATTTGAATGTGAGTTCTGGGAAACAATTATGTATAATATAACTTCAGTTCTTCTGCTCCTCATGCCTACAAGCTGAGAGGATTTATCCCGAGTACCACTCTTTATGACTCTGAGAATGCCCATCTGTGACTCATTCTGTAGTTAATGCTAATGCTAATTAAGACCATTATGCAGTTCTCTCAGTTTCCCTTTCTTTTGCTATATAGTAATCATTTTTTTTCTGTTTTCTCTCCCCCCTCTCTCCCCCCCAACGATATCCACGATGTCTCCTCGTGATGCAAAGCAGCAACGGCCAGTGAAGCAGTCGCTCAGCAAGTCACTTTGTAGAGAATCACACTGGAAGTGCCTGGTGCTCTCTTTCTTAATGTATGGCTGCATGGGAGCAATGACTTGGTGCCACGTAACAAAGGTGACCCGGTTGACATTTGATAGTGCTTATAAGGGAAAGTCCATGATGTACCACGATAGCCCTTGCTCTAATGGCTATGTCTATATTCCTTTGGCCTTCTTAGTGATGCTTTATGTGGTCTACCTGGTGGAGTGTTGGCACTGTTATACTCGCAATGAGCTCCAGTACAAAGTGGATGTGGACAGTGTGCATGAACGTGTCCAAAGGATGCAGCAGGCCACACCATGCATCTGGTGGAAAGCCATCAGCTATCATTATGTCAGAAGGACACGTCAGGTCACCCGCTATCGCAATGGGGATGCTTATACTACCACCCAGGTGTACCACGAGAGAGTCAACACCCATGTGGCAGAAGCAGAATTTGATTATTCTAACTGTGGGGTGAAGGACATTTCGAAAGACCTAATTGACTTGGAGAATTTCCCAGCAACTCGGCTTCGCTTCACCAAGTGCTTCAGCTTTGCCAATGTAGAATCTGAGAACTCCTACCTGACTCAGAGGGCCCGTTTCTTCACAGAGAACGAAGGGCTAGATGACTATATGGAGGCAAGGGAAGGCATGCATCTTAAGAATGTGGACTTCAAAGAGTACATGGTGGCGTTCTCAGACCCAGACAATTTACCTTGGTATGTTTCTCACTATGTTTTCTGGATGGCTGCTCTCTTGACTTTGTCCTGGCCCTTGAGAGTCTTGAATGAATATCGCACTTCTTATGTCCACTATCATGTAGAAAAACTCTTTGGATTTGACTATGTGGCAGTAACACCAGCCGAAGAGCGTCCTTTCTGCCAACGGATGCCTCGAGTCAACACAGTAGACAGTACAGAACTAGAGTGGCATATCCGCTCCAACCAGCAATTGGTGCCTAGTTATTCAGAGGCTGTCCTTATGGATTTGGTAGGCCTGTCTGGTTGCACCACTTACTCCTCCTGCCATTATGGCAGTTATAGGCAAAACTGTGAACAATGCCATAGGACTATAAGTAGCTCTTCCATCTTCTCCCGTAGTGCTCTCAGTATCTGCAATGGCAGCCCCAGAATCCCCTTTAGTAGCAGTCGCTTCTCTCTGGGCCGCCTCTATGGCTCACGGCGCAGCTGCCTTTGGCAAAGTCGGAGTGAGAGCTTAAATGAGCAAAGCTGTCCAACTGAGCAAACTCGCCTGTCCAGCCAAGTCACTATGGAGGAGGAAGAACCTCCTCCTTACCAAGATGCTCTCTATTTCCCTGTCCTTATTGTGCATCGAAATGAGGGCTGTCTCAACCATGATCACCGCCACCTCCATCGGAATGGATCCTGCGTGGAGACCTCACTCTAAAAGTGTGAAGACCACTTAAGGGAAATGCCCTGACACACAGATATGATGACCAGGCAGGAGATGGGTTAGCAGAGAAATATTGGTATCAACCTATCTTTGTGAGTGTGAAAGTATTCCTCCCTCACATCTTCCCTTAAACAACTCCACAGCTTTTGGCTCCATGTAATCAATTTGATATGGAGCAATCAACACTATCATAAGATCCATGGCACAGAATTACAGACTGACAACCACAAGCAAAAAAATAAATAAAGGGGGGTGAGGAGGAGATACTAGGGCTTTTTCTTTCCTGTTCCACTGCCCAGGTCACCTAGCTGGATCAGTCCCTGACTCACTTTTTTAGAGTTGTATTTCATCAGAAGAATCCATGACAGTGTCGCTTTTCCGCTCAAGCAAGACATTTGCACTGATTCTCCAGGCAACGAAATCTGAAAGAAAAGCTTCCTTTTTTCTAGACCATGCCTCGACTGTTACATTGTCCTCAGCTCTGGGGACCATGAGTTCTTAAGAAGTTCTGGTGTTTCGCATGTCAGAATCAGCAACTTATGGGTAAAGTTTAAAATGTTCACTGTACTTGCTCTTTTCTGGTAATAGAAAGAAAATAAAATTACCAAGGAAAACCCGGACTTTGATATAATGCAGTGTTGAATTCAAACCCAAGAGAAGCCCCAATATTTAAAGTAAGGCACTGAAACTACCATGTATATATTAAGCATGTCAAGAAGTTTTGGAGATGACTAGGAGTCCTAAGAGATCCTAAAAGAGAGGAATTAGTTGTCATAAAGTTTCTCAGGTAAGAAATTTGGTGATGAGGAAGGTTCTAAGACAGTGTTTCTCAACCTTGACAATTTTAAGGCATGTGGACTTCAACTCCCAGAATTCCACAGCCAGCAATGCTGGCTGTGGAATTCTGGGAGTTGAAGTCCACATGCCTTAAAATTGTCAAGGTTGAGAAACACTGATCTAAGAGATTCACCTGTAGTTTTTTAATGATGAAGAAACTCATTAGAGCGACACTGATGGATATTTGTGTAAATTTTACTGCAAATCAAATCAATTTTTTGCTTCCTGATGTTCTCTGGAATATGAAGGGAGGTAATCCATACATGAGTTGGGCCCAGCAGCTTTCTGCTCCTTTGTGAAGAAAATACATGGTCATTAGCCTATTAGAGAACCTCCTCACTTCATCCATTCCGAAGCAAATACCTTGATGGAGTGTCAAACATGTATACCCCCAGACTGTTGGATATATGTGTTTGACTTGTGCCATATTAGGACAGAGCACTGTTGTGGCTTAGAATACTAGTCTAAAATCCAAACATTGGTTAGTATACTTTCTCTAAGAATCAAAGTTTCAGGGTAGAGTAATATTTTTCCCAGGACTAATTAAAATGTGGCAAAATAATAAACATTCAAGTTACTCAAAACTATTTTCCAATCTGGATATTAAATAACCAGGTTGGGAGCAGGAGGAAAAAGAAAGCTGGACATTATAACTAGGATGCTATGCTATTTTTTTCCCCAGTAGTGTTATCTATCTACACACACTAAGTTTGAGGGCTTTATTATGAAAGCCAGTATTACATATCACAGTTTGTATGAGTAATAGATTTTGTGTCTTAAATAACAGAACTCAGCTTTACAGCTAGCCCAGTCTATAGCACGTTGCTAGTATTTCAAATTATTTATGTCTGAAATGATTACTCCTTTGGGAACAGATTTCATAGCCTGATTTGCTCCTATAGTGATGGTTTGTTTTTCTCATTTCTAAACCGGGTTCTTTCAGCAGTATCTTAATCTCATTATTTCTCCTTCATTGATTAAAGTAAAGAACAATTAACTCAGCTCCTCCTTTGACTTCACTATTTGACTGCACCATCTTGTCTTAATTTTCTAGTCAAGTTTTTCCTTCTCCCTTCCCAAAACTTAGTACTTCTATTATTCATTATTTGATAACCGCTGTGCTATGCTATACTATTACAAGATTATTGTAGATAAAACAGCATATCCATTAGGGCACACTTTGACTTTCTTTTTTGTATAAAGCACTTTGGATCTTACACAAGTATGAGTGCAGCACTTTATGCTATTCATTAAAACACCCCAATTTTTTTAGACTTTTATGTCGTTCCCCCCACAATGATGCAGCTGCTTTAAAGAATCTACTCAATAAAAGTTAATGCAACTCCTAAAGTATCACCACCCTTTTTTCTTAGTTTATGTGGAAGCCTGAAAAAAAGCACTAATGAATAGCAGAGAGGCGTTGTACCATGTTTGAACCACTTCTTCCAAAAGGTGAGAATAGATGCATCATCAGTGTTAGAGTATTTGCACTGTTTTTTTCACTATTTATACATAACTTGCAATAATTTAGTCTATTTTCCTGTCAAACATAACAACTTTGGTATTTGATACATTATTATAAGATCCATAAGTCTTGTTACATCATACAACTGATCTAACATTTTCTGCAAATTATTTGGGTTCTCAGGAAGCCATGAGGCATCTTCTGCATATAAATTATATATAAAGTATATGTACAGTCACATCTCCAATAAACACACATCTGCTATTAGAACTAGTTTTCTGTATACTTTTATTCATGAATACATTTAACAACCAAGTAGACCTCACACATTGTTATCCTATTCCTAATGCCTAATACTGAACCATTGAACTTGCCACGTACAGATAGTCCTTGACTTAACAACAATTTGTTTAGTGACCAAAGTTACAACGGCACTGAAAAAAGTGACTTATGATCACTTTCATACTTACGACCTTTGCAACATCCCCATGGTCTCGTGATCAAAATTCAGATGCTTGGCAACTGACTCATATTTATGACGGTTGTGGTGTCTCAGGATTATACAATCCCCTTTTGCGACCTTCTGACAAGCAAAGACAATGGGGAAGCCAGATCCACTTAACAACCATGTTATTAACTTAGCAACTGCAGTGATTCACTTAATAACTGGTGAGAAAAATCATAAAATAGGGCAAAACTCACTTAACAAATGTCTCAGCAACAGAAATTTTGGGCTCAAATGTGATTGTAAATCGAGGACTACCTATACTCCATTTCTCCCTTAGCATGTTTTGTTTCCATTATAGCTGCTGTTATTGTAATCAGCAACCAATAATCAGTGTCATAGTCATGTAACATTTCTCAGTGACTTGCTGAAGAGTAAAAACATTTGTACATTCTTTGCCCAGCATAAGGCTGCATTGAATTTATTAATTTTAGGATATTGTCATCTCTTGTATCCCTTTGATTATTTTATAAAAGATCTTCTGTGGTACATTTAATCACCAATATTTTAATACTTTTTACATTCATTCTTGCTACTTTGCTTTTTGTAAAGGGAAACAATAATGACATGCTTATAACAATCTTCTGTACACAGAGTTGCATATTAAACAAGTTGCACAATTCCTCTGTAAGCAAACCATCTCCATGTTTCACTTCCATCTCTACATTTTTCAGCACTCTTATAGCATTATCATTCCTTATCTTCAATTTGTTTTAAGTTATCTACATATGTAGATTTGTATTTCTGATATATTATGATTCCATATTGTCCAAATACTCTGAAATATTCCTTCCAGCATTCCTCCCCTTTAGTTTCATTCAATGTCATTTTTACCACTTTTGCTTTTAGTTCTGTTACTCTTGAGGAAGCTCCTTGTTTTGCCTTTTTACCCATTTTCAAAACAATCATATGTCCATCAAAATTGCTTTGCATTTTCTCTTAATTGTTCTTTCTTTTTCCTAGCATTTTTCCTTAAGTGCAGGGTCATTTTTTCCCCCAGATCAACTGGGTATTGATTCATTGGTTGTGACAGGAATTGACTGGCTGGATTGTTGCTCAAACCTGAATTTATGGATTGAGAGTGAGTGAATAGCCCAAAATCACCCAGCCAGCTTTCATGTTTAAGACAGGACTTGAACTTGTGGACTCCTGGTTTCTAACCTGGTACTTAAATCACCAACTGGCTTTTGACTAAAATATATACATTGTGCTATATTTTTTTTCTCATTCCCATTCTTTTACCGTACATGCTTTTTCCCCCCTCAGCCACAGCCTCTCTCTTTTCAGTTGATCATTTTATCAAGCATCTTTTTTTATACTTCTCATTAGTGTAACTCCACACATCTCTGTAGCGCTCTGTAATTAAGCTGCCAAGAATTTTTTGATTGCAATAGGATAAAAATGTGAAATGATTTTTATTGTTCCAAGCAGCTTTCACATCTTGTTTCCTTATGTCACCTAGCAGAATAATTACTCCCTTGGGTTGTATTTATTCAGAATATTACACAATTTCCTTAGAACCTACCTCTATTTTCCCCCATATTCCCTGGAATGTAACATGCAATTTTCTTTTCACTTCACTGGTTAAATCTTACTCTTTTATCATTTAGTATTCTTACATTCCAAGTTACAATCTTTCATAAGCTGTTGTCACCAGATGGGCCCATATATATTGATCTCTTTCACTTATCACCAATTTGGTGATCTATGACTTTCACTAATACTTTTTAATGACAGATATTATGAAAACTTAGTTATACCACATGCAATAGTCCATGCTCATGATAAGGGCAGTACTAGTCAGTTTGGGTGCTTTTGGTCAGTATGTTAAAAGTGCCACTGAAGTTGTTGATTTGGTTAATTATTAAAATTGCTTACATACCATCTTGATTTCAAAAGATTTATTTATTTCTCATTTATTATTAAATGAGAAAAATTTGAAATCACAAAATTTAACAACCCTAAACAAGATAGCAATCTTAATTCATAAACAGTTAAAACATTGTAAGGATCAACAAGTAGGTACTCTCTGTTTGTGTTAGTGATCAAATGCCCATCTAAATGAAATGCGTTTCCTGGGATTCTGGAAGGGTTCCATTGAGGCCCATCTCACCTTGGGAGATAAAGTGTTTCACATGATCAGGACAGTAATAGAAAGCTTTGTACTCTAGTTCCTGCCTTTTTATCCCCAACTGGATCAATTGGGAATAGAAAATACTAAAAGTATCCAGGAACTGACATGAAGTTCTTGGATATTTAAGACAAGACTTAAGACTTAATTAAGATTTAACAGTGATTTTGAACTGGTTTCCAAAGCTATCAATGATCAATATAGCAAACATACTTCTAATACTATGCTGCTAAATGGCTGGGCCAGAGTTATCATCAAAAGTAATACCAAGTAGGGTTACAGTAGTCTAATCACATAATGATAAGGGTGTGAGTTACCATTGCCTCCTTATCAGAAAGGACCAAAACTGGTGCAGGGCCAAAGCTTGGCAAAGGCTGCTCTGGTCACAGCTTTTAACTGATGCTGGAATTGAATCTATTAGTCCAGGACAGCCTCACATTGCAGACATGGCCTTCATGAGGAGTTTGTCCCTGTTAAACACTGAGATGAGAGGCTCTCCAAGCACATCACAATCCTGTGCAAGATAGGATTTCTAATTTACAGATCACCTTGCCAACCGGCATATTTTGCCCAATCTCTCATCTGTTCTGTGGAAGTTCTGAGGATGGCAGGAGGGATGATAGCAGGCAAGTTTTCTTAATTTCATAGGTTAGTTTTCAGTTTTAAACAGAAAAGTGAAAAGTTTTAAATAGAAAAGTGATTTTTAAAATGCTATATAGAGATGATCAACACTGCTTTTTATAAATCCAGACATGTCCAATCAGTGACCTGGTTCATATGCTGAACTAGAATATAGTATTTGGTTTAACTGGATATTGTGTGATTCCAGCCAATTGTGATTTGTTAAGCAAGCCATGGCTTAGTGTGTATTAATGCAACTGATAAATGATTAATCA